AAAAAAAAAAAAAAAAAAATACGATCATGGATTACAAAAAAAATAAATAAAAAAATAAATAATTATGTTCTTCCGTACGGGACTCGTCGATTCCGTACAGTGAATCGGCGAGTCACTGTGTAGAATCGTCCGGTTCTCTCTAGAATCGGACGATTCCCATTTTTTTCACCGATTTGATTCATCCATGGTGATTCCCGAGTCGAACTGGGCGAGTCCGGTTCGACTCGTTGTTTTTTTAAACACTGGTTGAGACAGGTTGAGACATTTGGGGGGTTTACATTATGCATGACCATCAACTTTTTAGACGTACTTTTTAAGTGTTTTCTAAGTATGAAAGCTCAAAATCTATTTATTTATTTATTTTAGTTTTTTTGATGATACTCATCTAGTCATTGTAAGATCCCAAAACTACAAATTCTAAAAAATCTTGCGTCGCAGCATTTTGGGTATTGCCCACGGGAGAAAAAGTGTTCACATAGAAGTAACACATGCACACAAAAAGGCCAAAAGATGTTATGCACATCATGAAGGTTGAGACATTTGGGTTTCCACGATGCATAAGATCATATGGCTTCGTGTTTATTTATATTTTATAAAAATAGAAATTTATATTAATATCTCTTATATATTTTATAAAAATAGAAATTTATATTAATATCTCTTATATGTTTTATAAAAATAGAAATTTATATTAATATCTCTTATATATTTTATAAACATAAAAATTTATATTAATATCTCTTATAATGAGGAGAATTTAAACAGGGTTCGGTATGTATAGAGCCTAGGCTCTAAACAATCAAATTGGAGCCTACCTTCAAATAGTATCTAGAAATGTGGTTTCACTACTGACAATTTGTCAAAAAAAAGAAATGTGGTTTCACTACTGAAAATCTTTGTAATAGCCTTAAATTATATTTTTATATTTATTTATAAAATTTAAAGCTTAAAAAATAATGTAGATCAACAGATCCATGAAAACTTGAAAATCTTGAAAATTGACGGTCAAAAAATACGTCACAAAATACACTATTTCCAAAACTCGAAATCCAATTGTTTCTTATGTCCATGCATGTTGATGTCGAGATGATCAATTTGAAGATATGTGGGCATCAAAACAACATTTTCTAGTAAAATTTTTGAGGTAGGCTCAAATTTGATTGTTCAGAGCCTCGGCTCTATATAAACTTTTCCCATTTATAAAAGGAAAAAAGTTTATATAGAGCCGAGGCTCTAAATATCAAATTAGAGCCCACCTCAAATATTTCACTAGAAGAGGTTTTTTTTTATGCCCAATTATCCTCAAATTGATTATCTCTATATCAAGATGCGTCGACATGAGAAAAAAATGGATTTTAAGTTTTAGAAATAGTATATTTTGTAATGCATTTTTGGAACATCAGCTTTTAAGATTTTCAAGTTTTCATAGGTATGCTCAATCCACACTATATTTTAAGCTTTAAATTTAAAAATTAAACATGAAAATATATTTTTAAGGCTATCACAAAGATTTTCAGTACTGAAGCCATATTTCTCGACACTATTTGAAGGTGAGCTTTATTTTAATTTTTTAGAGCCTCGGCTCTATACAAACCGCACCCTTTAAATGGTCGTGTCTATTTCTCTCACATTTTTTTCTCAAATTGCTCTTGGTTAAACATTTTGAAATTGGTGCTCTATACAAAAAATAATTAAAAATAAAAAATAAAAAATAAAAAAATAAAAAAAGAAGAAAAATATGGCAGTAGCCCATGTGAAAATAAAAGCATATTCGGTGACAAACAAAATATTATAAAAAAGTTGTAGTTTGTATAAGGTTGCAATCTTAAACAATCCAATTAAGGCGCACCTCCAAATTTTATCATAATATGTAATTTTGGTGTAAACAATTCTTAAGATTATTTGAAAATCTATTTTCATATCTAATTATAAAATTTTGAACTCCAAAAATGCTTAAAATGAAGTAGATCTATAAACATATGAAAATCTTAAAAATGGATGATATATTGCAAGATACACTAGTTTTTGGACTCAAATCTTTTTTTCTTTTTCTTTTCATATTAAAATAATTTTTCCAATGGATTTTTTATGTGCTGTCTTTAATTCTATATTTTAAAATTGCAACCTTACATAAACTTTTTCATTGTAAAAAGCATAGGAAAGTAAGCTATAAAATATAGAAAAGTACATAATAAAACTCTTTAGTTTTTAGTAAGAGAAGGTCAAACTTACTATTAATCACTAGATGTGAAGTCTGTCGGTTAAAGGTATATGCTTGATTGGGGTTAGAATTCAAAATAATTTTTTCAAACTTTACAATGCATTGAATAACATTCAATGCTTAAAGATGATTGTACCTTTATTATAATAAAAATAAATGGATTTATAATCAGTTCCCATAAAATAAAGAGAACACTTATGATGCGGTGCAATTACTCTATTACAAGATTGTAAAATAGCATGATGTAAATACATATGAAGTGAGCAGATATGGGAGCGGGGTTTCACGACAATACGTCTCTCCTTTTGGCAGATATGGGAGCGGGGTGAGATCTGGTTTCACAACAATACGTCTCTCCTTTTGGCAGTGATGAACAATCCACCATGCCTGCCATCCCCACTCTCACTCACTCCAATTTTCAAACCGGATCTACACTCCCCTATTGCAATTGCAATTAGACTTAGACCCAAAAAAATTTAGTTTTCAAGCCAGATCTAAACCCGGCACCCTCCCTTTTTAAAATTAAACACGGCACAACTTTACTTTTTTTCTTTTCTTTTTTCAAGTAGGTCAGGAGTTAACTTTTTGGAAATATTTGTGGAGTGGAGTGGAGTGGAGTGGTGGTGATAATGGGAATAAAAACCCAATGTAGTGTCTTGGATGTGAGGTGCAAGTACCACGACCCCAGTTCCAATTCTAAAAAAAATGAGACCTCATGGGGCTCTACGCCAAGTCCCCAAGCTATTTTCAATATATATATATATATATATATATATATATTCAATAAGTTAAAAAAAAGGTTGGAAAAACTTATATAACGTTGCAACCTTAAAATGTAGAATTAAATAAGTACCTTAAAAATCCATCTGAAAAAGTTGTTTTAATATTGAAAAACTCTCTGATTGATCTTTATATTGAGATGTATGAATATGAAAAAAATAAAATAAAATAAAATATTTTATATCCTAAAAGTAGTGCATCTTGCAACATATTACATGGACCGTCCATTTTCAAGATTTTTATATTTTCATAGATCTCCTAGATTTTAACCATTTTTTTAGTTTAAAATTTTATACATAGATATGAAAATAGATTTTCAGATAATCCTAAAATATTTTTACACCAAAATTACATGTTATGATAAAACTAGGTTTAATGTTACTATGGAGACCCAGGTCTTGGGTCGGGTCGGGTCTAGTGCAGCCTACAACATCAACCTGCCTAGACCTCTCTTTCTTCCCCGCATATTTCAAACCTCTGCTCCACCTAAACAGTAGAAAATCACCTCACCTCACCTCACTCATTTTCACTCCCTGCCCTGCCCTGCCCTGCCCCAATATCTGCTACCCCTCTCTCTCACTTTGCTTATTCAGACCTTAAAACCCCCCCAAAAACTGTTGAAAACATTAAAACCCCTCTCTTTTTCTCTTTTTAAAACCCCAAAACCTGTTTAAATGCCCCTTCCAAACCCTCTCTCTTTAAAACCCCAAAACCTCTCTCTTTTAACTCCACTGTTGCAACAACGCAATACAATCCTCTATACATCAATCAATGGCTACGGATCTTATGCTCCATCACTCTCCAAAATCCTCCTCTGAAAACACTCCTGCTAAACGCAAAGCTGCCTCTTCCCGCGACTATCACTCCAAAGTGAATGGCCGTGGTCGGCGCATCCGCATGCCTGCACTCTGTGCAGCCCGCATCTTCCAGCTCACCCGCGAGCTTGGCCACAAATCCGATGGCCAGACCATTGAGTGGCTACTCCAAAAAGCGGAGCCTGCCATCATGGCAGCCACCGGATCAGGAACCATCCCTTCGCTTTCTTCATCTTGTTCGCTCTTTGTGCCATCTTCGACTTCAAATCCGTCCATGCTCGCGCCAGTTAGGGTTCTGGCGGCTCCGGTAAGGGTTATGCCGGCAGCACCGGTTAGGGTTTTGGGACCCATCGAGGAGCAGTTTCCGACCAGGTTTTTGGCGCTTTCTGGATCCTCCACTGGAGGAGGGGTTTCCAGCGGTGGATTCCGGCATATGCCTTTTACTGCAATGTTGCTGAGGCCTGTTGACGATGAGGACAGGGACGGGCCGATAATGGATGACTGTAGTTTTTTTTTTTTTTTCTTTACATTTTCCTTGTTTATTTTTTTCATTTCTGCTTCCGTTACTTTCTTCTTTTACTTCGTTTTCATGGATTATGGATACTTAGTTGGGGATGGGAATTTTGGCCACCTGCTATCTCAATGGGTTTTGAATTTTCCATTAATCTCAATAGGTTTTGAACTTTCCATTAATGGAAGTTCTGAACTCACGCTGCTGTGACTGTTTTGTTGTATATCTTATATTTTGTTAACGTATTTCTCTCTTATGTTTTTTTAATTCTGGGTAATTGGATTTATTTTCGTAATGTTTAAGAGCGATCTTATCCGGAGGCTGATCTTTCATCTGAGCTCCATTTAGGGCTTGGGACAAGTTTATATAAAGCCGAGGCTCTAAACAATCACCTCAGGGCCTACCTCAAAAATTTCGCTAGAAGAGGTTGTTTTGATGCTTAAATATCCACAAATTGATTATCTCCGCATCAAGATAGATGCATGGACATGAAAAATAGTAGACTTCAAGTTTTGAAAATAGTATATTTTGTAACTTATTTTTTCACTGTAAATTTTCAAGATTTTCAAGTTTTTATGGACCTATTTATCAATACTATTTTTTAAGCTTTTAACTTTATAAATAAACATGAAAATATATTTTAAAGCTATCACAAACATTTTAGTTATTGAAACTACATTTCTTGATACTATTTGAAAGTAGGCTCTAATTTGATTGTTTAGGTACAAACCCCACCCTCAAGGATTACATGTACATTTCTTTGTAAAGCTTGTTTTAAAAATTAAAAATAAAAACTACCTGAAAGGTAAAGAACCCTGACTAAAATGGGGCCATCAACTTTTAGGACACGGACGCGGATGTAGGAGATTTTGTAGTGGCCCCCGCGCGTCACAAATGGGTGGATTCTGTGGGCCCATCTTAGATGTAAGTTGCGTAAGACCATCATCTCTTGCGCAGGTGATGAGAATGAAACTTATTTTGGGAAATCTAAAACGTGGATAAGAGTGGAAGGGACCGGGCCAGCCTTGGCTACGGCCCGGCCTTTGTCCTCACAGGGCCAACCCTGGCCCAGCCCAGACGCCTAGGCCCCATCATGGTCTTGTTAGGGCCGGCCCGGCAACAAATAAATTAAGCAAATAATAAAAAAAGCAAATTAAAAAAAAAGCGTCGAGCCAGGCCGAATGGGTTTGCACTGGACCTCGGGCTACAATTTGTGGCATTGAAGCAAAATTTAAAGGTGGCAATGGGTTTGGCACGGTGGCCGAGAATAGAACGCTCGATTTTCCTAATTTATATATCCTTGAAGGAGCAATTTGATTTTTTAATAGGTTTATTTCGGACTGAACACACCCAACCTGAAAAATTAACGGAAAATATATTTATAGACCCTAAAAATTTCGTATATAATTTCCTAATAGTATCTTGCAGCATCAATTTTCTTAAAACTCTTTCTACTGACCCTCTAAAATCATTGAACCACATTTTATTCTATATGTCTATCACAAACAAACTTTAAAATGGCACAAGCCATCTTTTCTCGCTTTCATTTTTTCTGTCTCCCTTTGTGATTTTCTAATTCCTTAATTCTCAAACTCCTCTGCGCCCTAGAAGCAAGCCAATCCTCAGACTCAAGCGGTGGCTCCTAGTTGAAAAACGGGTTCCGTTATGCTCCAAGATTAATACCATGAAGATTCAAAGCTTAATACCATGAAGATTCCAAGCCTCCATAAAAGGACTCTCCTCAAACATTTCGTCTCCCTATAAAATTGAGCCTCCAGATTAATACCACGAGTGGAATACTCACAAGGCGCCTTTTACCCAACCAGAGTTACGACGAGGTTGAACCAGTCTAAAGCTAAGGCCGAATACCGGGGGGGCTCCCAAGAAAACCCTACCTTCCACCCTTACTCTCATTTTTAATCTCACTTTCTCGCTCTAGAATTTCGACCAAAGAAAGGTGGCCAACTTCTAAAGTTCTGATCCTCGTGAACTGAGGCGATAAATAATAGGAGGATTTGAAATTCAAGATGGACAAAAAAAAAAAAGAGGCGATAAATAAGAGGAGGATCTGAAACTCAAGATGGACAAAAAAAACAAATAGTGGCCTTTCCCGTCTCTTTTTTTCTCTCATTCCTCATTGTCGAAGGGGGTTCAATGATTGAGAACCCCACCAGAAAAAATTTCGGGCAAATAAAATGGAGCCTAATTTAGGGTGAGAGAGAGAGGGGCAAGGGGTTGAGGGGGAGAAAGTTAGGGCGAGGGTGTGTGAGAGAGAACCAGAGCCTTTTGGCTGCTGGATTTAGAGACACATGGATGGGAAAAGAGCGAAACGACGGGGACAGTGACGGCGAAGAAAAAGGGAAAAGTAACATTTTGAAATTTGTTTGGGATGGAAACATGGTATAAAGCGTGGTTATATGGGTTTAGGGTGTTAGTAGAAAGACTTTTGGGAAAATTGATGCATCTAGATACATTTTAAATTTGTGGGTCTATTGGGAAATCAGACACAAAATTAGAGTCTACAAAGATATTTTTCCAAAAATTGATAGGAGCGATCCGAGTCGGGCCAAACCGGGTCTCCAAAGGTGCCACACCTTCGACAACAATTATGCAATACTATGTTAGTAAACTACAAAAACTAAGAAAGGAATATTCCATTAAAGAAAATGGAGCGCCTCATAATGGCTGTGTTAGAAGATAATAAGGGCCAAAGAAATGTAGTGTCAGAGAAACGATGGTTGAGTGGAAAAATGGAGCAAGGGCCAAATAAATGGGGCATTAGAGATACTTTTAGGGGAAAAGTTTGGATTTGACCCAATAAAAATGAAGGTAAAAAAGTGTGTATATTTTTATGGAAGCCATGTTTAAAATAACGGATTCAGTGACCCGGGTCACCTATCCAACAATTCGGTTTAGATAGGTTGTCCAGAGATCAATGAATTGGTCAATTTGGAGGAACCCGGCATTAAAATTTTTTTAAAAAATAACTAAAATTTTTAAAAAGTCTAATTTCTTATGTTTCCAAAAAAATTGGGGGTATTGTATTGTAGATTTTTATTATTTTATAGAAAATATATATAAATACTCAAAATTTGTTTCATGCCTGATTGTTGACCACTATATCCATTTTATAGTGAAAATGAATTTTAAATTGTAATTTATTACAATAAAATGGATTTTTTAGCTTAATTTTTTTGTTTTTGTATTTTTGTGATCTCTATTATCACTTGTGCTTGTAAAACTAAGGAATTTTTTCACCTTATTTATTATTTTCTCCTTGTCCTAAAAATTAATTTATTAAATTATTTATTTATTTCATTTGTATTTTTATTGTAATGAAGTTGCATAAGTCTAAAAATCAAAACATTTTTTTTCCGATTTTTTTCCCATCTTTTTTTCACGGAACTCTCTCGTTCGCTACATTGCTGTATTAGTTGTTTTTCTAAATTTTATTTTGCTTCATTTTAACTTGATTTTTTTTTGTCCCTAAACTTTTTTAACTCTCTGTCCGATCAAGTTAGAGAAATTTTTAACCCTCTATCTAATCGTTTTTCTAACACGCCTTAAATTTTACTTCATTTTCGACGGATCTGGATCGGCTGGATCCGACCTTTAAATTTAAGAGCGAGTTAAAAACATCTTGGACACTCTATCACTACATGGCTCTAACATGCCGTTAAATTTTATTTTTGCTTCATTTTTCTAAATCTTTTATTTTCTTTTCCTATCAACACTCTAAGCTTTTTTGTTGGGCTCAATTATATTTAGGAAAAGTTTATATAGAGCTGAGGTTCTAAACAATCAAATTTTAGCTTACCTCAAAAATTTCACTAGAAGACATTGTTTTGATGCCCAAATATTGTCAAATTGATCATCGCGTCATCAAGATATATGGACATGAGAAAAAAATAAATTTCAAATTTTAGAAATAGTGTATTTTATTATGCATTTTTGGACCATTAATTTTCAAGCTTTCGTAGATCTTTTGATCGACACTATTTTTGAAGTTTTAAACTTTATAAATAAAGATAAAAATATATTTTAAGGCTATCATAAAGATTTCCGATATTGATACCACATTTCTCGACACTATTTTAAAGTAGGCTTTAATTTAGTTGTTTAGAGCAGAGCATGGGCACAAGGCTATAACCCTATAAAACACAGGGTCGGTGACACTGTTTCATCCATAATTGGCTCCTTGAGTTTGCGGTGTCGGTGTGGGTGTGGGTGTGGGTGTCGGTGTGGGTGTGGGTGTGGGTTTGGGTTTGGGTGTGGTTTGCATAACCTTACAACCTTAAACAATCCAATTAAGGCGCATCTCTAAAATTTATAAATTATATAATTTTGATATAAAAAATAATTTGTAACTTTTATTATAAATGTAATTTTGGTATCAAACATTATTAAGATAGCTTGATAATTTATTTTCATCTTTAATTATAAAATTTTAAATTTAAAAAATGATTCAAATCAAGTACAGTTATAAACACATGAAAATCTTGATTCCGAGTCAGTGATTTCTTTTAACATTGATTTGAATCAAGATGAAGTTTCTATAAACCTAGGCTATATTAAAACAAAATAAAGCCTCGTATGAAATCCTTGTACGAAAAGCACTTTCAGCAACAAAAATCTTCATGAAGACTCTAAAATCAATTTCAACACCGACAATAAAATTTGAAACTAAAAAAATGTATAGATCTTGTGGATCTATGGACACTTATTTTCACGTTTCCATCAATTTAAGACTTTACAAAATTGGCTTTTCACATTCCTGTGCTACGCAACTTGGAATATGAGGCTCAAGGCCAGGTTGTGCATATTTAGTGTTTTCATATTAAGGCTCTTGGAACCCAAAAGTTTAATGTTTTAGGGTTTCTGCAGATCTTTTTTTTTTCAGTTTGGATTTTATATTGAAAGGCAGAAAATTAGACGCCAGGGTTTTTGCAACTTGCGTGTTAAGAGCTCTACAATTTAGGGTTTTAACTCAAAACTGCAATAGTTTAGATTAAAAATTCATTGATCCTTTTAGTATAGGGTTCCGCTAGTTTCTCTTAAGGTCTCTGCAACTTAATAATACTAGTGTTTTTCTATTGGGTGTGGTTTTTATAAGGTTGTAACCTTAAACAATCCACTTAAGGTACACCTCCCAATTTTATCAAGTAATTTTGGTGTAAATTTTTTTTACAATTATCTCAAAATTAATTTTCATATCTAATTATAAAATTTTAAACTCTAAAAATGGTTAAAATCGAGTAGGTCTATGAATATATGAAAAATCTTGAAAATAGACCGTCTAAATAATGTGTTGTAAGATGCACTATTTTTAGGACAAAATCTTTGTTTTTTTTTTCTCGTATCGATACATCTTAATGTCAAGATGATCAATTAGAGGTTTTTTCAACATTAAAACCTTTGCCAATGGATTTTTGTGGTGCATCTTTAATCCTACATTTTATTGTTGCAGCCTTATATAAATTTGTTCCTTTTCTATTTATTTTTATTTTAGTACTTATTCAAGAGCCTAAAATTAGTTATGGGTTAATAGAAAATGGAGCGGCAGAATAGAAAATTTAAATTTGATAAGATGACAGGCCATGATTCAATAGTGATTAGGGTTTTTAATTGTGACAAAAGATAAGTTGCCACTAAATTCACACCCCTATTTTAATGTTGTTTTATTTCATTTATTTGTTTGTGCTTTTCTTTGTTTATTGATTCAGGCCAACTCTGACCCAATCCAAATCGCCGATCCAATAATTTAACACATTTGTGGGTAAACAATCTGCCCCATTGCTCCGCATTTTGAAATTCCAAATCGCCGATCCAATAATTTAACACATTTGTGGGTAAACAATCTGCCCCATTGCTCCGCATTTTGAAATGCTAGACAAGTTAAGAAGGATTTTGTTGTAGTACTGCTATACATGGAATATTTCTTTAATAAAAACAACATTTTTGGAATTTGATACCCATACCCATGATATTTAGGTTGAAGGCCTAAAAATTCAAAGTAAGGCACACCATGAAATAGTATAGAAAGATGTTATTTCAATACTTGAAATTTTTGTGATGGTTTGAAAATTTATTTTCATCTTCAATTACAAAATTTAAAGCTTAAAAAATAATATAGATCAAAGAAACCTATGAGTAGTTGGTAATCTTGAAAATTGACAATCCAAAAAATACATCACAAGATGCATATTTTTCAAAACTTAAAATCTACTTTTTCTCATGTTCATACATCTTAAAATTGGGATGATCGATTCGAGGATTTTTGTACACCAAAACCTCTTCTAGTGAATTTTTGAGGTGCACGTTAATTTGGTTGGTCAGGGCCTCACCCTTATATATCAAATTCTTAATAAGAAAAAAAGTATTTATTTAACTATAATACAGAATGACACATCCTCATAAAAGTGACATCTACATAAAGTAGTAATTAATTTTTAAACACTAATAACATACCATTATATTCTTAAAAATATCTAATCTATCCTTCTTAATAACTTGAAATACCTTTACTCGAAAAAATTTGCGTTACAAAGCAAATATAAAGTACACTGAGGAAAATACTCTATTTATAGAAATAACCAAACAAAACCCAAAACCAAAAATCAAATAGACCCAAAATCAAAAATCAAACAGTGAACCACCTCACCTACCATCACAGCGGGCTTTAAATGTAGGCTGTCTGAATTCTATTCAATCAACCCAGAAGCTCAATTAGATTTGGGCTATTCACCTGGTTGGCGGAGGATAACAAGCTGTATCCAAAGTTTGTTTCGAGTCTTGCTGAACAACCAAAGAAGATAACCAAGAATTAAGAATTAATGGTCAGTTTGGATGTCAAATAAAAAATGCTTTACATTGAAAAAAATTGTAATTTCTTTTAACCTTATTAATAAATATTATCATTTTTTTTTAGTAGTTTGTTGGACTGTTTGGATGGTGTGAACATGTTAAAATGAGTTTCACGGAGAGACAGGGCGCTGAAGCAAGGGTGGGCGGGAGGCATATTTGCACTCCTCTCACAATAACATATGCTCTCTCCTCATACAAGTCCTATCAGCTCTATTTGAGAGAGAAAAAATGGTTGCCTCACTTGAAACTGGTGCTGTGGTGCTGTAGTTATACAGGCTGCCAAGCATGGTGATGAAGTGGAAATGAATTGCAACTGACGTTTAGAGAGAGAAAATAGCACCATGGCCAAAGCCCAAACCCTAACTTCTACAACTCTTTTTCCTCTTCGATTTTCTTCCATTTCGGACCATACAACTCTTCTTCCTACGCCATTTTTTCCATTTCTGCAAAGCTTCTTCCTCATCCATTTTTTTCCATTTCTATAACTAAAGTCAAGCTTAGAATAAAAAAAAAAGTTACGCTGGTTCAAAGGTGGGATTTGGAGTTTTTTACAAAGATAAGATTTCGGGTTTTTTACAACCAAAATGAATGGTTTCTTTTATAAAGATAGGATTTGGGATTTTCGGTTCGTTCAGTGTTGAAACTTAGAGCAAAAGATAGATGTTTTTTTACAGAGATAAGATTTGGGGTTTTTGGCCCTTTTGGTGTTGAAGCTTTGAACAAAAAATGGATGATTTCACAAAGACGGGATTTTAGGTGAACGGGTTTTAGTAACTCAAGTTTAGAGAGATAAAGTAGAGAGATGGGGTTTTTGGATATCTTCATGAACGGGTAAGAGATGGCCTATCTAGAAAAATTCAACTTTTTTTTATTGTAACTTGTGTATGAAACTGCCGGTTTTTTATTTCAATTTAAAAATATTAGAATTTTTGGGTGGTTGTCCAAACAGATCAAATCTATATAACAAGATTTTTGGATTGCAATTCAAAAATATTGCAATTTTGAATCATCCAAACTGGCTTTTCTCTTGCTACATAAGAACTACATAAGAGAATAAGAAGAGATGATAACATTGAACTCCTAAACAGAAATAACCCTAAACCCTAAAAATGGAATGCCAACGATCTAGAAAAGTAAATAAAAGCAAATGAAAGGGTCCGAATAAAATGAATTCTATCAAACGTATGCGATGGTGAGAGCAAAGGAAGCAAACTTCGTCACACATCAGTAACAAAAGAAAATTGACATGAATATGACAGTTACGATTCAAATCTACGAATTAAAAGAACCATACTTCCCTATGCTTTTTATAGTGAGCTCTGCAAAAGAAGTTCCAAGGAAGAACAAAGGAACTAATTGATAAGGAAGAAGCTCCCAATATAATTGAGAACATCCATTTTCAGAAAGAACTCAGACAAATTTTCATAAGAGAAGAGTAATAATATTTACCAATACCATTCCTACCCATGCATCAAACCCAAGAGGCCAAAACATTCATAATATGTGCAGTCAAAGAGTGATATTATTTACCAACACCATTCTTACCCATGCGTCAAAACATCATAACATGCACAGCCGAAGAAGCCTTGAATTACTCTCATAACTCAACAAAATCTATTACAAGAAAAAGTTCCCGCAACACCAAAGGCATCACTCCCCCTTTACCCACATTCCCCCCCCCCCCCCCCCCCATTTTCTTCATGAACTTCAAAAACCCTCATGTAGAACCACACCTTCTATAGGTTTAGATAGACAAGCCTTGGGGTGGGGCAGCCACAGGCGCCTTGGGCTGGGGCTTCTCAACAACTATGGCCTGGGTGGTAAGGACCATGCCCGCCACTGAGGCTGCATTTTGTAAGGCGCACCTCGTCACCTTTGCAGGGTCAATTACACCAGCCTCAACAAGGTTCTCGTACCTGTCGGTCATGGCATTGTACCCGACCTCCCATTCCCCTGTCTTGATCTTCTCCACAATCACCTCTCCTTCAACCCCTGCATTCTGTGCTATCAATGCAGCCGGAGCCACAAGTGCCTACATAGCTCCCCACAAAAGAGAGAAAAATTATCATTGATTGGTTAGAATGTCGGCAAACTTTAAGGAAAACAATAGAGGAGGGAGTCCCCATTTCCATATCTAGAAATGTTAAGGTAAGAAATTCTCCCTCGTATTCGTTTCTCATGCAATTCTTCAAACAAACTCTACATATAAATATAAAATCTCACAAGATCGACATGTTATGAAGTATTGAATTTGCAAATTAAGGCCACAATTTCAAGTTTAGGAAATAGTCCTTTTTTATTTTTTTGCTCTCTTCACAAACAATATCCCCTACTTATTATTTTATACTCTTAGTTGAACTCCACTAATTGTTTTTTGATATTCCTAAAGGAAATAAATGAATATTTAACAATTATCAAATCTATACATCCCCCCCATTGAAGACCATTAGTCCACCAAAAGACATATTCTTTGTACTGTTATAAAATAAAAGTACTTCAAAACCATTATGCTCCTTACCTTCATCACAATCTCGGCCCCAAGTCTCTCATCTGCATCCTCCAACTTCTCCTTAATGGCCGGAACATGGGCCGATAGGTGCACATAAGCAGTGCCACCACCAGGCACAATTCCTTCCTCAATGGCAGCAAATGTAGCATTCTTAGCATCCTCAATCCTAAGCTTTCTATCTTCAAGCTCAGTTTCAGTGGCAGCTCCAACCTTGATAACTGCCACACCTCCAGATAGCTTGGCAATACGCTCTGCTAACTTTTCAGAGTCATAAACAGAGTCAGTTTCAGCCAATTCTTTCTTGATTTGAGCAATACGAGCTTGGATCTCATCCTTGGTTGCTGCATCGGCTATAATGGTAGTTGAGTCCTTGGTTATAGTGACTTTCCTCGCGGTACCAAGTTGCTCCACTGTTGCACTTTCAACCAGAAGACCTAGGTCACTAGCTTGGTACTCAGCCCCTGTAGAAAGAGATGAAAATGATGGACATCAATAAGGGAAATTCAATGTTTCAACTAGTGTTGACATTTTGCTTTTGTTTCAGTTCGCCTCTTGCTAAGAAACAAACACGCTCGGAATTTGGCAAATTTGAGAGATCTTCAACATTCCAGAAGAAAAATGTTAGACGAGAGTTATGTAAAGAAACAATAAGAAAATTTAAGAACCAGAGTAGAATGGGTTTTGAGAAGGTTTTAAAAGCATCTTATCAAAAGCCATAACTGTTTGATGTTGGCCCACAAGAAATGAGAGAATGGTCTAAACCCTAACAGCCTACTGAAGACGGGATTGTCCACGTTTTTAGTCGAAGGCCTTATTTGCCTTCAAGGAGCCAAGGAAAGACCTCTAGAAGAAAATGATCCATCTAGTCCATTAATTTCTCCAAGGGGCAAGAGACGATATCAAGGGTAGAAATCCATTTACTTATCTACAAAATGAGGCCTGTCATTCCACTTAAGGGAGACTTTTCCAGCCTAACCATCATCAATTTACTTATGAACCAAAGTCTTATTATTGGTATAAAGGATTAAAATAACTTAAGGTCATAGAAAGCAACCTTCACAAGAGAAATCAATGGTATGCGGATATGTGGAAAGACTTCAGCTATGGAATATAAGAAAGAATGAACATATAGCCACCACATATATCTAGGAAATATGCCATCTACAATATGAGAAACAAGTCGAATGGTTTAGATCTTATTTTGTAGATCAAAATAAGAATACCCACTTTTGTAGATAAAAAACTAGTGGGGAAGAAAACTAAGAATACCCAGACTCTGTTTCTGGTTTCTATATCCAAATTTGTGATACTTAAAATAATTCCCAGACAGCATACCATTAAGCTAAATCATTTATCTAGTATGTTTCTGGGTTCTATATCCAACTTTTTGACACACAAAAAATTCCCAAACAATAAAGCATTAAGCTAAATAAACTATCTAGTCGAAGCAATCCCTAAACATCAAAAAACCCAAATTTGAAATGAATTGTCTAACCCTAGCCTAAGATATATCCAGTTAGTGTTTATTTCCTATGTAATACATTCAAATTATTGAACCAACCATAATTCCCATATCCTAAGTAAACAAGACTAACACTGACTTTGTTCGAATATTTTCTCTCACTAGTTCTTCACATTCAAATTCACATATTAGAAAGAAAATTTCTAGACTTCCCTAATATTTTTGTGAGCTAATAAAAATGTTTCCAATTTGGTTTTTTTTTTTTGTGAAGCTGTATTGTTACCTAGAGTTTTGATAGAATACATCCAATTTGTTTCACACCATTCATGAAAATATGTAGCAATCCATTTTCATTATTTAGGAGCTCGTTTTACAAGTATTTTGTAAAAGGGATATATTTTAAGTTAGGTTATTCATCTCTTTTTGGATCTTTGTGGCTAGAATCACAAAACAGAACAATTGAAAAAAAAAAAAAAAAAACTTATTTAGCTTAAAGGTGAGTGTTAACTTGAATATGAATACTATCCATTAGAGTGGATTTTCTGAATTTCCTACAATATATTTGTCTGTCATTGTTTGGGGGGAAAAAAAGGTATTTTCAGTTCTTTAATGTTAAAATAAAAAATGGTATGCTTGGGTACACATCTTCTAACAACTGGAAAGCGAACAGGGGAATGTAGTTTTGAACACTTGAAATACAATTGGGATATGGCATAAAATGGATTATATTCGTCTCCTCTTTTTCTAGGATCCTTGTATGGCCCATACATTAAACTGTTTTTACAGAAAATCAATAAAAAATACAGGCATGTTAGTGGAGATTACTCTCAGATCTGATGTGAAGGGAACCCTATTGCACAAGAGGTCAATGAATCCTAGATGAGAATAGTAAATAATGGGGCAGAAAATACCTATTCTGTGCCCAAAGAAAACATAAAATAGAATATAAAAAATAAAAATATAGCTGCAAAATGAAGTAGAAACTTTTAAGAAGCTATGTGAAAGATGGTGGACAGAATGGAGGAAAGGATGCCCCATGAAGAAGGTGACGTGGAGGAGAGAGAGAGTGGTTAGCAAAATAAAGATAGGAATGTGGCGTGCAGCACGAGGGCAATGCTTGAATTCATAAATCCTTCATACACTCATTCCAATTTTTTTTGGAATAAGCGTATCCAGGTCACAATAGCCTTTGAGCATTTGCATAACCTGAATATCGGCGCCAAAACTCAATCCAAACAACCTAAGGTGTGTTGTATCCTGAATAAGTAAAAACAGGTCTTACAAATGACGAGATCCCAACTACCCATTTGTTTAGTATTATCTTTGTAAAGATGATATAATTAGGTATCTATTTATATGTATAACATTTTGGGTACTTCAGCCAAGCATTTCCCATTTAACAGCTCCACACCAGACCATCTCAGTCCATTCAATTAAAGCAGCTTTCCAAAAAAGCCAAGAATTTCAATGACCCCAACAACAGTTCAAATAAAATTATCAGCAATCAAACAAAGCATCAGTTAATTCTATAATGCTACACATAATGATAAAATTACCTGTCAAAATAGCAATATCCTGAATCATAGCCTTCCGTCTCTCACCAAAGCCTGGTGCTTTAATGGCAGCAACATTGAGTATGCCACGAAGCTTGTTCACAACCAGAGTGGCTAGAGCCTCACCTGTAACATCCTCTGCAACTATGAGCAAAGGAGCTCTTAATTGTGTGGTCTTCTCCAACAAAGGTATTATTTCCTTAATTGTTGATATCTTCTGATCAGTCACCAAAACTCTGGCATTCTCAAACTCTACAGTCAATTTCTCTGGATTTGTGACAAACTGTGGGGACACATAACCTCTATCAATCTGCAAACACAGGAACTTGAACATTAAGGCACCAATTCACACAATACAAAATTACAATAAAGACAACAACAATTTACTTCAATAAAGATGACACGATTTTCAATTTCCTAATACTGTCACCCATGATTTTCTGGCGCAAATTTCCAAAATACATTTGCATAACTATAAAGGGCATGGCCCTTAATAAAGCATAATGGCGGACCAAGACTCGTGTAGTTGATCCCAATTAGTTGGGAAAAGGCTTTGATGATTATCATTTGCATAATCCTCGCCAGAAAAAATTCAAACCATCTCATTAGAAGAAACACACAACTGTACCACAACCATAAATATTAAAAAACCTATTCGTCTTGTGACTTCATCTCTCCAATCTACTTTGCAAATACCAAAGCAAATTGTTTTTCTTTGCCAAGTGAAACCAGAAAAGCAGTGCCAAGGTGAACATCCTTAATTCTTGCCTCGAAGAGGTTCTTGATTGTTCCCCATCAGCATCCCAATAATATACCCAAACTTTTTTACAAAAATCTAAACATCCAGACCCAAACAAAGGGAGCAAAAATGCCAGGTGCTGCATTGCCAGATTATCTAGCATACTCTTTCCTTTTCTGCTTTCAATTCAATCAAAATGTCAGAAGAGTATGCACAATCATAAGTTGTGCATATCCTAAATTCATTTAAGGCTTCTCTTTAATATTTTGTCTTGATTGTTTTATGTTTCTTCCATATTAATTCATATTCACCAATGACACTAAACAACATTCTAAATGGTGATCAAAATTATGGTGTCACCTCCATTCCCTCCTCCACATCAACAGTTGTCTCAAAAGATGACGAAGATTCAATGGACAGCACACCATCTGGTCCCACTTTGTCAATGGCATCAGCAATCATGGTGCCAACGAACTCATCATTACCAGCAGAGATGGTTGCAATAGCTACAAACGCAATTGATTAAATGGTCAATAAAGTGAGATTCTATGGAAGTACTTTTACAAAGTACCCCGATGACATTATAAAAAAAAAACACTCAAAAGAACATATACCTTTGATGTCGTCACGACCTTTGATGGGCCTGGCCTTCTTCTCTAGCTCCTCTACCAGACCTTGGACAACTTTGTCAATGCCCTTCTTAATAGAAACAGGATTAGCACCAGAGGTGACACTCAAAAGCCCTAATTTGATAATTTCTCGAGCAAGTATAGATGCAGTGGTTGTCCCATCACCAGCAGAGTCATTGGTCTTGCTTGCAACCTTCAACGTAACAACATCAGAAGGGAATATTAGAGGAAGCAAAATCCATATCATATGGTAACAATAAACATTCAATAACTGTTAACTGACTTGAGGAATCTTCAAGCCTTACATATAGTCACAGTGGAAACAAAAGAAGAACAAATAGAGTATCTTTCTATTCCATTACCAAATTGGAACCTTAACAGAACAAATAAATCAACAATATACAGATGTTGTGCCAGAAAAACTGATTTGAGGAATCTTGACACCCCACATGTAAACATAATGGAAACAAAAGAAATACAAATAGAGCATCTTTTATTGGCATCCCCAGGACCTTATCAAAACAAATAAATAATTAAGACACAGACTTTGTGCCTGAAAACACCTACCAATTATTAGAGCAACAGAGATAAGAGAGAGCAATTCTTACTTAACCCTAGCCAACATCCTTCTCATTAAAAGCAACACAAAAGGCTTCATAACAATATGAAGAAAAGAACTAGCATAGTCAAGAATGTAGATTTAACATTTTGTCTAAAATAAAAATTGCTACCATTGACATCAATACACACACACTGACATCAACACACACGCACACGTGCCTGTGCACACACACAGAGAAAGTAGGGCAAGGAAAGAAGGGAGGGGAAGAAGAGGAAGTTAAATTTTACCTACTAGAGACAATACGTAAGACAATGCATACAAATAGAGAACAAATACACAGGATGCAACAGCAACCAGAGAGGAGGGTCATCATTTGAATTCAGGTCAAAACTTCCAAAGCATAAAGGAATTGAAGGTTCACATTCATCAAGTTTTTATCGCATGCACCCACATACTAATAAAAGCTAGAATACAGAGGCATTCCATTCTAAACAAAAGCATTCATTTGAAAGGTGTTATCCAAGGAGGCCAAATCAACACTAAATTATATCTGATTAGCTACCATCATTCATGAAACAGACATTAACCAAGTTAATTCATATAGTAACAGAAGATCGACCTGTATTTACCTTCAAAATACAAGTTTAATGTGGACCCAAACCATACCACAGATAAGCATACCCAAAATTAGAATAAGAACTTTGTCAACAAATGGAAATCATCCCACAACATTAATTGACATGTACATGAAAACTTTAGACATGAATGAGAAGAAGGTAAATTACATACAAAAATGTGGATGATTTCATAACTCACCTCCCGTATCAAGGCAGCACCTGCATTCTCCATAGGATTGGCAAGGTCAATAGCACGAGCAATAGTAACCCCATCATTCACCACTCTAGGGTTGCCAAACTCATCCAAAACCACATTCCTCCCTTTCCATAACCACCAGACAAAACGCAGAAATTATGAGAACCCAAAAATCAAAGAAAGAACCCATAATCACCCAAAAATAATAATATAAAAAAAAGAAGGAAGGAGGGAGGGAAGCGGTGGGAGTAAGGGGAGGAGGAGCAGGGGAAACCGGAAGAACAGGGTAGGGGAAGAGAAGTACCCCTGGGGCCAAGAGTTATGCCTACAGCATCTGCAAGCTTGTCAATGCCAGCCTGCAGGGCAGCCCGTGAGCTCTGATCAAAAGCAATATCCTTTGCTCGAGCTCTAACAACGAACCTACCAACGGTCCTCGAATTACTACCATGGCTAACCTTTCTCCTCAAGCCACCCTGCTCCATAATAAAAAAAAATAAGCACCTCCCGCTCCAGAACAAATGCATCAAAAAAAAATATATACTGAAACTTCAATTTATGAAAGCTGGGAAATGGAGAACAAGTATATATCCATTACAAACAATAAAAAATTACAATAGAATTCGTCAATAGTGATAACGTAGCTGCTTACAAATCTGTCCAGAAAACCAAAACATAACCAACAACTTCATATGCAAAAACTCTACGGGACAAAAGTAAGGATAAATCATCCTTAAGCATTAAAAACTACATCATTTCACTGCAGATTGTTATTATCCCAGAAAGATAAAAACTTGATTGCAGTATGAAAATAAGACAGAATGGATGAGAGGAAGGGAGAGAAAGTGAAGAAAATTACAAAAGAAAAAAAAAAATTGAACTAATAGTTAGGAAATTAGGGCAAAAAAATCAGGATACCAACCTGTTGAGGAGAAGAGCGAAGAACCGCTGACGAGAACGCGTTTGCAGCCGCCATTACCAGTTCAGAGTGAGGAGCTTCGAAGCTCAATGGAGAGAAAGAGAGAGAGAGAGAGAGAAACTACAATGAAACGAAATGATTGACGATAAGAAAGGGGTTAGGGTTTTTATACAAGAAAGGGTGTTTCGAGAATATTCGCAATGGGCGAGGGTTCTAGAGGAGCTCAAATGAGGCCCTTATTTTTGCCCTCTGCCTCTGCCTCTGCCAGGAGGCGTCACACTCCCTTGTGAATGGAGAGAAACGTCCAAAAAGGGTCTCAATTGACTCTATAATATCAAACTTAGCATCAGCTTAGGGTTTGGTTTTTTTTTTTTTTTTTTTTTTTCTCGTTTATTTCTTTGGCAGGTGAGAAATTGTTGGTATGCAATGTAGGACATGATATATGGTAAGTGAATAACATGGAGCAATATTTTAAAAACTTGGTATGGTACACAATTGGAGCATCTATTGTCCATTCTAGATGATGGATAGATAAGGAAAGATCAGGAAAATATTTCTATGTGATCCCAACAACATATATCTGGACCCAATTCTTAATATCTCATACCACAATGTCATGTCAAATATTTTTTTTATTTTTTATTTTTTTTTCAAAATATTTTTTGATGAAATTTTGGGTGTCTCATCATAAAATTAGGGCGAACCTGAAAAAAAAATAAATAATAAAAAAAAAACAAATATTTCTTATAAAAAAAAATAACTAAAATGCCTCTATAATTTTTAGGGGTAGTCTAATAATTTTTTATCACCAAAAATATTTTTTATTATTTTTATCATGTGCGCCCTTGACATTTCTATCCATGTCCCAAATTTTGCCTCAAAATTATTCATAGAATAAAAATAAAAATTAAATAACTATGAGCCATATGATCTAGATATGACAGTTAAGAGCTAGCTTGTGACATTGTCGTTCAAACCATCTCAATCATCTACTCAGATCCAAAGGTTGAGACCAGGGATCACATATGCTATATATGTGGGTGGGGTCACATAAAAAGCTTCCCCCGAAAGATTCACCATCACGATGTCTAGCTTCTTTCTATGACCCAACCTGATCAGGTCAACCCAACGCTATTTCTAATCATACTGGTTAATGGCTACTGTTAGAGAATTCAATGTAAACCCAATGATCTTTGCCAACAGAGAGGAGTGGTGAGAATGGAGATTAGAAGTGCATTCCATGAATGTGTTAAATTAGAGGAGATTTACTGGAGAAGGTCAAGACTTAAATAGCTCAAAGAAGTGGATCTTACTACTATACTCTTTCATTGTATTACTGATTACAGGAAAAGTTAGGAAAACCAGAATTGAATGAATAAAAATGATGACCTTAAGATAGAGGAAGCAATAATGCACCATTGGAAAGATGTTTCAATGAGTAAATATGGGAGGAATAAATATGATTGGGAAAGGAATTTGTAGTAGAGGTTTATCTTTAGTGTGGAGAGGACTGACATCTTTGAATGAGATGATTGTAAGGAACACATAGTTTATCATAGGCAAAAAGATAGTATATAGTTTATCATAGGCAAAGAGATAGTATATTATTTTGGCATCAAAAGTGGCTAGGTGATAAAACGCTCATCTAAAAGCGACTAGGCCTAATGCCAAAATTATGGAGAAGGTTAGCTTAGGTTACAACATTTCATGGGATATTAGATGTAGGCAGAATACAACATCAGGCATTGTGATTACCCACATTGTAATTGCCCAATTCTCACAACTCTTGCGGATAACGAAGTAATTTGGGAACTAGCCACGGAAGCCGTCTTCTCGATGAAATCAATGTGTTTGGTTCTTTCTGGGGATATATCAAGATTGTGGAACCCAAGCATGGCCAAGGTATATAAACTGCTAATTCCTCGTATAGTACAAGCTTTCATGTGGATTATGTGTCTTGTAATTATTGACAGTGAAAATATTGAGAGAAAGAGGAAATATTCTTATTAATGTGTATCTTATGTAAGAAGGATGAGGAAACAATGGACAATTTGTTTTCAAAGTACTTTACAAGGTAAATACTAGAAGTAAATGGAGTTGGGCTAAGCAGGATATTGGTTTATAAATGCGCTTACCAAGACAACCTATACAAATCCAAAACCAATTGAATGAGCATTGCCAAAATGAAGGATAATTTTATGGCAGTGTGCACTGATTTGGGAAGTACAGAAGGAAACAAATCAGTGTTTGATGGCCTTGTGCTAGTGTTTCCCCTAAACGTATTAGTGACTATGATTATGACTTGAATCTAAAAATATAAAAGGAACCCAAGAAGACCAACACACAGAGAGGGAACAAATTCGCGCTAATTCCAGATAGTGGGAAAAGGATTTTCTACATACATGAATGTCCAGAGACTTTCAATCTCGATTATATTTAAATTAAATCGATATATAAATCCAAGCACTCTATATTCGGGCCTTAAAGTGAATTACAGATCTTACAAGAAAATACACAAAGATTTGAAAAAATATCAGCACTAAAGGGATTTATGACAACATACATGCATTGGATATTGTCCACTCTCTACCTTCTTGTAATATGGGCTTGAAGTGAATCTTCGATTCAAATGCTTTTTATTTCAGTTGATGACTTTCTATGCAGTAGATTGTAGAGCAATATCCTGTGCTCCTTTCCTTACTTGAGCATGTAAGGATATCTCTAAAGAATATGGAGCATCACACACATTCACACTCTCTATCTCTAGTCCATGTAAGTTTTTTTAAGTCAACGACCCTTTCACACTCTTTAATGGGGTACTTATAGAGGTTTTATGATGATATCCATTATTATTCTTGTGTTTATCCAAAATCAAATGGTTGAAACCACTTCTCTCATAAAATGTTATAAAAGACAAATTTCCATTCACATTTAAATTCAAATTAGCTTAAGAGTGGTTTCTAAAGATATCCACCTTTGAATTTGAGCTATCATGAAAATTGAATTTGAACACTAAGCCAATTCGAGCGGTCAAGATTCCTTGTGAGAAAATCTAGGACTTGATGATTATCAATAGCCGCCGACAATCAAACCAGTGCATAGTCTGAACATGTATGGTTCTAATTGATGTCGTTCCTTGATGATGAATTCTTTTGGCTTGAAATACTTCATGATGATAGAGCACTCAAAGACGATCAAAGGTCTAAGTATCCCCTTAAATGGATCAATAAAAAAGGAGATATGCCTCGTTGAAATTGAGTCATTTTTGTTGTTGATTTTGACAGCAGATCCGGCCATTACTAGCCTAACCACTTTCATCTTAGATAATTATAGACCTTGGGGGTTTGATAGTCATGTAGATGAACTTATGATAAATACTTCCAACAAATTTGGTGCCAAAACTCTACAAATGATGGGCGATATTGCAAATCAGTGCTCAAGTTTTAACACAGGCTATTATTGTAAGTCCAACCACTTTCATACGGGAGATCAATAGAGGCCGACACTAAGTCAGGAATCTAATGGTCCAAGTCCCATGAGAAGACTATTTATAGATTTAGAGAAATCTCAATTTTAGTAACTAAAAGTCATCCTAGTTAATGAATGCGTCACACCCAATGTATACAAATCTTGGATGCCTCTAAGGGGTTAGTAACCGACCTAACTGTATTTTGGGAACAGCATATTGATTTTAGTAGCTTGAAAATTTTATTTTTTAGAAAAACAAATTATAGAGCACATTGTCTCATCCACACTACCCTCCTCCGAAGTTTAAAAATTTATACCCAATCTCACCACAAAACCAAGCTAAGTTTTGTAGGTCATATCAAACATCTACATTTTATTCTCTTCTTCACAATTTATTGGGTCATATTAATCAATCCTTTCTTTTGAACCCCGAACTGGATTTAGGGGGAAATTGTTGTCATATCTTTTAATTACAAGATAGGAGATGGAGTTTGATTGCATATTTTAGAAATTGAAAAATTATGCGGTTCTTTCCTAACGAATTAACTTCGTAGCTATGATAAATCCATTTAATTCCCTTTCAAGAGTGAATCCATTTAAGAGTTCCAATGGAAGATGAGATAAATTTTTTTTTTAAAGAGTTCAAAATAGGTTCTCTCATTTTTTATAACATCAATACAAAGTTGTCTGGCACTCCCACTCCCACTCCCACTCCCATTTTCAGGGAAAAGCATGGCTTCAGAAAGAAAACACCTGAGGAGGCAATGGAGCCGGACCTGATTGGGACCTGAAGGCTAGACCCAACTCAGGTTTGTGTATAGATCCAAAAATTGGACTCGACGAGTCGGGTGGTTCAGGTCCAAATCTTGGACCCAGACTTTATTTGGGTCCGACTCCAAATCTTGGACCCAAACACTATTTGGTCAAGGTCTAGTTAGGTTTTGGTCCCACATTTCCCAATTTATGAAAATATATTAAAATATATTTAAAAGAATTGTCTACAAATAAACAATTTATCGTTTGTACACGGATGTCACAATTATTCACGTTCATTAGATTTCAAATTAGATGGATTGAGGTGACACACAAAGTCCAATAAATTTTTTTTATTTAACTTTGTGTCTATTCAATGACATTCGTACAAAAATTTAAGGGTCAATAATAATTGTGACATCCATGTATAAAAAATAAATGGTATCTTTGCAAACAATTCCATATTTAAATACATAGATATTTTATTTTTGGGTCAGGTCCAATGGGGTTTGGATCCGAATCCAGGTTCCACATAATATTTTCAGGTCCAGGTCCAGGTCCAAATCTGAGGCCCACATAATATTTTTGGGTTTGGGTCCCATAAAAAAATTTCAGGTCCAACTCCTAATCCAGCCAGACCCGATCCGATCCGATCCGACCCAACCCGACCCATCGTCACCCCTACAAACAAGTCGACATGTCACAAAAAAAACATGAATTTCACACCCAATGAGTCTAATAATGTTTTTGACTAAGTGACTATAAAGTCATAAGAAAGTGAATGAACCTTTTAGGAAGGAAGAGAGAGTTCAAATGTGAACAAATAAGCATGAGTTTCACAATTTCACATTTGATGTCATTAAGACAAACCAATGTAGAAGAGAAGGCATGGAACCAGTGGAAGAGAATAACTTGATTAGGAGAGAGAGAGAGAGAGAGAGAGAGAGAGAGAGAGAGAGAGAGAGAGAGAGAGAGAGAGAGAGAGAGAGAGAGAGAGAGTAGAGTAGAGTAGTAG